ACCTGTGGGCTCAGTCAATCCACTTGCCTCAGTCTCCCAAAGTGCTGGGATTACAAACTGAGCCAACGAGCCCAGTCATAAGGCAGTTTTTTAATTAAAATTTTGTATTACACTTTGTGTTGTTTTTATCTTTTGTCTGCATGTTAAGACAGAATTTCTTCTACATCAAGATAAGATGAGACAAAGAGCCTTCTTTTTTTTTCCTGGTATCATCCCTCACCTTCCACCAATCTTGTCAACCTACCTGTAATTTACCTTCATGCATGGAAAAAAGAAAGGCTCAACTTTCACTTTTGTCTAATATGATCCTGGAACCTTAAAAATCCACTTGATATCAGCAACCTCCATTGCCATGGCACCTTTCTCAGCAAGTTTTAAAGTAGTTTGCAGATGATTTAGTATGTCTTTCTTGGCTGTGTTTTAAATTTTCGCCTATACCAATCAACATCTAAATCTATCACATAAGTGCTGCCTCCTATCATCACTTATTGGTGAAATTAATGAGAATTGCAAGAGTTCCACGTGTTTGGTGGTAGAGGGAATGGGACAGTAGACTTTTTTCCCTCTTTGTTGAGATGTTACATAGAGCCAAGCACACAAATCTTAATGGTACAGCTCGACACATTTTTGCATATAGCAAACAATCGTGTAACTACCACCAAGATCAATTTGTAACACGTTTCCAGCAACCTAGTAAACTCTAGGCCTACAGAAGATAGGTCTAGTAGACTCTTACGGTCACTGTTACCTCCCACAAAGGTAACTTCTATCCTGATCTTCATCACCAAATACTAGCTTTATCTGCCTTGGAACTTTATATAAATGAGACAACACTGATTATGTTCTTTTGTACGACTTATGCTTTGCAACATTATGTCTTTGCCATCTTACCTATGTTGTTATACATAGCAGTAGCTTATTCTTTTTCATTCCTATGTAATTTTCCATTGTATGAATTTTATCCATTCTAATATTGATGCACGTTCCTTTTCCAGTTTTGAGTTATTATGGATAATTTGTACATCTTTTGGCAGCCACGAGCATTCGTTTCTCTGTGTGAATACCAGAGTGGAATTGCTTTGCCATAGTGTATATGCATATGTTTAGCATTAGTAGGGTGCTACACACGTTTTCCAAAGTGGTTCTACCATTTTATGCTCTCACCAACAACATATAAGAGTTTCCATTCCCCTGCCAGCACAGGGTATGGTTAGCCTTTTTAGCTCTAGATATTCTGTATCACATCTCATTGTTTTAATTTTCATTTTCCTGAGACTAAGGATATTGAACACGTGTCATGTACTTATTAACCAGTTGGAAAATATCTACTTTTTAAAGTACCTGTTCAATTATTTTGCCAATTTCTTTAATCAGATTGACAGTATTTTTAATTTATTAGAAGTGCCTTTATTTTGCATATGAGAACTTTGGATATGTGTATTAAAAATCTTTTACTGTTTTTTGTGGTTTCCTTCTCTCTATCTTACTGTTGTCTTTAGAAAACAGAAGTTCTTGATTTTAATGAAGTTCAATTTGTTTTTCTTTTATAGTGAGTTTTGCGTTTTAAGAAATCTTTACTTTCCCCAAAGGCATACAGACTTTCTATTATGTTTTCTTGTAGGAGCTTTATGCCTTTACTTTTACAAGTAAATCTCTGATCTTCCTTTAATTAATAATTACATATGGTGTGACATAGGGGACAGGCTCAGTTTTTCTCATATGGATGTCCAATAGGTCCACCACCACTGAAAGGACCATCCTTCGCAAATTAAACTTCACTGTTTCCTTTGTCATGAGTCAGGTGACCACACATGTGGGTTTATTTCTAGCCTGTCTTTTGTGCTCCATCCATCTATCTGTGCATTCTTATGTCAACAAAAGAGTAGACTTTTGCAGAGATTTACTCAACCATAATCATGGAAAGTGTTTAATAGCACCTACTATGGGCAAACATGTATTTCTACAGTCAAAAAAAAAGCCAAAACCCATACCCTAGATTACTGAGATAAACATAACTCCCTCCACCCATCAGGACAATTCTAACATCAGCCGTCTTCTTCATACTCTGATCTTTAGTTTTCTGTGACTCTGGTTTCTGCCCCTTAGCTTGTGTGTGTGTCTATTGTGTGTTTATTTCGAAGAACCCAACAGTGCATGTAAAGACATGGATGATGTATTTTATCTCGCTATTCTGGATGGTTTGAAGCAGGAGAGTTTTCACTTTGTCTAGTCTGTGACTTTGTTGGAAATGGAAAATGTCAACCTCAAGAAAAAAGAGAACCTTATATCAGAGGGCTAAAAATAGCATGAGATGCCCTAAATAGTGTTTAGCATTGCCTCTTAGAAATCAAAGGGAAGAAGATACCTTTGACAGATCTCTGACTGTCCTGAAACTTCTCTCTTGATGCTTATCAGAGAATCACAGAGTCTTGGCTGGCACTGGGCATCCTCCCTGACTCTGATGAGGTTCTAAGGTGCCATGACAACCCCATGAGATGTCTGAAGCATGCTACTCTCAGTAGACGTTGAGTGTCCCAGAGTTTCCTTTAGTGTCTTGTTTTCATAATATTCTAAAAGGGGTTTATTCATCTCTCAAATTTGCCCCTCTTCTTTAGAAATATAATCAGAGTGAATCCATGGCTGTTTGGACTAGTCTTCTTCAAAGTCTGTGATTTATTTAAAATCTGGAACAAAAATATCTATGTTCAAGCTCACAAAAGTCAAGTGTAAATACCTTATATTATGTGTGACAACAGTCATCTCAGTTTTTAAACCAGTTGATCTTAAGAAGATACTAAGACTTGAGATGAGGGTGTTAGGGTGCTCGTTCAAATCCCTGTCCTGCCATCACTGATGTGTGATTTTAGACAAGTCACTCACCTTCTCTGTGCTTCCATTTGTTCATCATTAAAAGGTGACAGTTGTACCTGTACCTACCTCGTGGGGTTGAGGGGAGAATTAACCCAGGAACATCATGAGGAGAACCATGCCTGGTCGACCGCCAAGATCATTAGCCATGAGTATAAAGCCAATATTTAAAGCCACCTCAAAGATACGACTGGGTGTCTTTTTTCAGAATCACATAAATATTACACTGCCTCTTTCCTTCTTTTTATCTTTAAGTTGTGTCTAAAGGGAGAAGCAAAGCTCTCTTACTAAGCTATTCCATTTTTGTTTAACTTTGAAACATTATCTTAGTCTTCAGCTTTCTCAGAAACCAGGGAAGTGTCTTGTGTCACTCTTTTCCCTCAGCAAAAGTCTCCTTTTCTCTCTTCACAAGAAAAAAAGAGGAACACCAACAGGGAAAGCTGAAACCCCCGAGGTTTCCTCTACCAAGGCTGACTTGGTTTCCATTTTGTCCTCCCGGAGAGGAGGCAGATACCACTTCCCTGCCTCCGTGATTTTCTTCTCAGAAAGACAGCTTAGGCTACTGAGCTACTAATGCACATATTCTACTAAGGTTGTTTCCTGAGACTTTTTTGATGGTTTGCCCCTAAAAATCCAACTCTAGCCCCTCCCCCTCATTTGAATAACACTCAGCCAAGCACACCTATCTACGCAATGCAAATATCTGTAGAGACACCACATTAGGCCAGGTGGGGCATAGCTAATCCTTCATGGAGTTTATAATCTTAAAGGAGTACTGAGAAAGGCATATGTGTGAGGTTAATTATACCGACGTTACATAATCTGTGCCTAACTGGTAGCACAGAAAACAAGTGTTGCCTTATTAGTGTGGTCCTGAGCAGTTGAGTGGAAGGAGTGTATGCTTTGGAGTCAGAGGTGAGCCTCCAGAGCCAGCCTAACCCTTTTTCACAGGACAGGTGACTAGCTAAACAACCTGTGAGACTCCCAAGTGTGGTTTCCTTCTGCCTGAAAGCCCCAAGGGCAAGAGCCCAGCTATCTTGATTGGAGCAAGGACTTACCCCCAAATCGAGGCATGGCCAAATCGTGTCATCTGGATCATGTGGTCTGGTGTGAAGTTTCTAGTCATGCTGGATGGTCACAGACTAACCCATGAGATCCCCTCTGTTGCTAGGGCTTCCGAGTTGGCAGAATGGCCCCAAAGATATCCTAATCCCCAGAATCTGTGGACACGTAGCAGATGTGATCAGGGTTACAGATTTAAAACAGGGAGACTACCCTGGATCATCCAGATTAGATTAGTCCAAGCTAATCAAATGAGACTTCAAAGGTAGAGAATTTTCTGTGGCTGGAGGGCAAGAGAGATGAGGTAAAAGGGAGGGTCAGAGAGACTCAAAGTCTTGACCAGCCTTTGCTGACTTTGAAAATGAAGGAACTTTAAACCAAAGAATACAGGCAGAAGGACTGATACACTACCTACCAGTCCTGTATTGTCCCTAGAAGCTGAGAAGGACTTTGGCCATCAACCAGCAATGACACTTTGATCCATCCACAGATGGAATTGAGTCTGCCAACAACCTAAAGGAGTCTACAAGCAAATTCTCCGCTAAAGACTCTTGATAAAAGGCCAGACTGGCTGCCACCTTGATTTTGGACTTATGAGACCCTAAGCAGAGAAGCCAGGCTTTCAAGCCTGCCAGACTTCTGACTTGTAAAAGTGGGACATAAGCAGTGGGTATTGTTTTAAGCCTCTAAACATGTGGTAAATTATTATGACAGCCATAGTCAGCAGGAGTTGAGTCACACAGGGAGAAACAGAGGGGGTGTTCGGATGCCACCTGGAACCTGACACCATGTCTGACTCTGTGTTGCGTCCAGACTTTCAAAACAAGGTCCCGTCAGTCCTTCTCCTTCCCCCTCCCAGGAAAGGCAGGAAGTAGGCAGAGGAAGAATCACCTTTCAGTCCTGCCCATGAAGGCCTAAGGCAGAGAGAATTCATGGCTGGCTTACAGTGGCATGTCTAGCTAGTTAGTGGGATGACAGAGGTTAGAATTCCAAACTCATGGCTTTCAGCCCAGGAACCTTCCAGAAACCACCACAGAATGGAGGCATGAAATGCCAGCCCATCTGCTCACCTTTCTGTAGATGGCAAATATGGTTCCGATGGAGGCCAGGCAGTCGATGTTGGAAGATCCATCCAGAGGGTCAAAGCAAACCACGTATTTCCCCTAAATCACAGAGGAAAGAACCACTCAGTCAGCACATCTTCCAATCAGCACAGTTTCTCTATGTCGGGGCTATGTGCGGAAGACAACAGTAATCAAAAAGAGACTGAGCACCAAGGCATAGACTTATCACAACAGCCGTGACTCACGAGGGCAGAGCGCACTGGCATACAGGGACCCTACCGTTCAGGCCAGTCCTGCCCTCACATGGATGCCCACAGGGGGTGCCGGAGGTCCCATCCACCCAGGATGGCTCTCCTCTGTGGCCTGCTCTGGCTCCACCCTCTCCTTCCACCTGGGCCCACCAGGGCTCGGAGCAGCTTGAGGATGTGACAGGAACTCAGACCGGGAATTGGCACCTTGCAGGGAAGAGCCAGGAAGCAGAAGATGAACTTGGGATACCGCCCAAATGTCCCGGGGGGCCAGCTCTACTCATGTCCACAGTGAGGTAAGTAGATTGTGGGAAGCTCCAGGAAGAAAACCTAAGCAGGGCGAGGGCGAGAGAGCAGTGAGGGAGGTGATACGTGATGAGAGGCCTGAGGGGAGTTAAGAAAGGAAGACTCATGGAGACCTAGAGGGAGGACTCTAGGCAGACAGATCAGCAGGTGTGGCACATTCAAGAACTAGGAGAAGACCTGAGTATGTCAGGCTCATAGGGGGAGACAAATGGTCCACTAGATTGATGAGAAAAATGAGGGTTGTATCAGTTGAAACTGAAAGTTGGAAATAATAGGTGTGACAGTTTACATAATATAAAACAAGCTTACAAGTAGGTGCTTAACAAATTTGGCTTTGCTTTATGTTATCTTTTCCATTCTTCCAGATAATCACAAAGAAATGGCCTCTTGTCCCCAGTTTCCAATGTATAAAAGAAAGGTCAAAGGTCCCAGCATCTATGTTATATTCCAGCTGAACATGGGCTGAATTTTTTCACCACCAGCAAACTTCCCTCTATAATAAGCTGTTTTGTGAACCCATAATGAATATAGACCCTCCCAGTCATACCCTGCACTGACTTCACCACCCTGTTAAGGCAAGAGCATGGGATATTTATGATTTCTTTTCTAGCTTAGTCTAAACATTGTCAGGCATGAAGAAATCACTGCTGAAATCACAACCCCCTCAAGGAATTGTGTGGGATGGGGGCTAGGGTGAAAAGAGGGGAGGGGAGAATAAGGGGTGCATTGCACAGCTCTTTGTAGGAACTCTACTGTTTACTGGACTTTCTTGCGTTCAAACCTCAGAAAATGCAGCACTTGTTCAGGGACATTACATGAACAGACACGAATGCCCACCCACTGAGGCGTTTCCCTAAACCATACTGATTTATTTCCTGAATGAATCACTGCCGCGCTGTTGAGTCTTCTTTCGCTAAAAAGCATACGATTTCCAGCTAAGAAGAGCAGCATCCTTTGTTCCCAGAAAACAGATATTTCGAAATAGAGGACAAACTCAGGAACTGGAGAAAAGGCAAGTGATGCTTCCTCCCGGCTCAGTCCCCCCATCTACAAGTGAGGAGAGGCACCGCAGCCCCAGGACGCACCCTCCTCTCCTTGGCTGTGATAATCGCCTCCTTGTTCTCCTCCGAGACCAGGACGCAGGTGCCGTAGGAGGACTGCAGCATGTTGACCACCAGGGAGTTGGATAACACGTCCAGTTTCTTCACCTCATCTCCCGTCACGTTCACGCTGCCCGCGATCCCATACCTGCAGGGACAGAGGGCTGAAGGAAGTCCCGAAAAGAGGCCCGACCCCGGCCCAGAGCCCTGCTGCCAAGGCCAGCAGCATCCGCCTTGCCGTCCAGACTCTGCGGTCTCCGCGCTCTAAGTGCAGAGGAGGCGGATTCTGTCCGGCAGCCTGACTCGCGACCTCGCTTCCCGTCCACCTGGGGGTGTTGTCATATTTCCGCCGTCTCCCGATGAGATGAACCAGAATTCAATCTGGATCAAACACAGACCTACGCTCGCCAGCGGGAGGTGGACAGGGTGGGGGAGCCCAGAGAATCAGACCCATCAGCATAATTAAGGACTCCAAGAGATAAAGGACAGTGGCCTTCCAGCGCCGGATCCCCCAGTTTGGGTTGACATCTGCACGTAGCATCCTGCCGGGTTGAATTAAAAATTGCCCTGTGGTCGCGTGGCGCTGCTTGAACAGAGAAGGACAATCTGAAACAGACTTGGCTAATTTCATTCGCTTCTTCACCACCATCCCAGGCAATGTCAGTGGGAACGCACTATGAAATTCCCTCTCTGGAAAGCAACTCCGGGGTTCTTTTAAAATAATCTGAGTATCTTGTTCGAAGAATTTCCAACCAATGAACTTCTCCCACTGTCGCTCTAGGTGTCTGTGGACAGGGCCAGGGGAAGGGTGCTGTCTAAATTGGCAGGATACGGGGATTCTCAGCCGCCCAGAAAAAGTGGAATCCCGACGCACGGCTTCCACGGGCAGCGTCTGTCACCTAGTGGTTATTGGCGGCATCAGCCACCAGCGAATTTCCTGGGTCTGGGTTTGGAACCATGGTAGTATCAGTGACTGCGCATTTGTTATGGGGCCAGCCCTGTCGCAGTCGTCACCCTCTGGCCTCACTAACCCTCGCAACAACCCTACAATTTAGGGACTATCCCTATCCTCTCCACTTGACAAATGGGGAAACAGGTCCTAGCAAGAGCCAGTCATTGACTACAGTCACACGGTAGGAACCGCCAAGTTAGAGAAGCACCTTAAATACACAGTTCCTAAGGCCGCTTCCTCAGGACACCCAATTGCCCCAAAGTCAGTGCTGCAGTCGATAATTAAGCACACTACCATGGCAGCCGCCGCCCAGCCCAGAGCCCTACACTGTGGAAGAGCCCGATTCATGTATGAATGATCCTGAGAGGTGCTCAGACAACCGCAGTGAGTTTAAGAGGGGGCACATAGACAGAAGCAAAGTCCCCTTAGTGTCACCCAGCAGGGCCATCACCTGGCGGAAGCAGGACAGGACACACACTGCCCCTCACATCTGAGAAGACCCGTAAGTGCAGAGCTTGGCCGTTATTGCCAAATGAGGGAACGATACAGCCATAGCAATCCACAGATGGGAATCAAAGTCAGCATCATATATCTTTAACTGGGGTCCCATTCCTGGGTCACCAAACCTTCTGTAAATACAGTCTGTAATGACCTTATCATAGTTACATCTTGTCATATGACGCTATCGCTTTTTTGTGTTAAAAGCACAAAATTGTTAAGAATAAATATTTTAAATTACTGGATGTTGTTAGCTCTTCATTTTGGGTTCCTCTCCCCATCCCCCCAAAATATGGGGCCCTTCATCTCCCGAGAGGACCTCTACTGAAATTACTACAAACAAAATGGAAGCCCAAAGAAAGACAGTTTCTTTTTATGATAGACTTGAACCGAACCCTTGGCTCTGACCATCAGCAGCTGTAGCGTGACCTTAGCCTCATTCTGTGCGTGGATGAAACACCAAAGGGAGCCAAGCAGAAGGACCCTCTGCTCTCCCCGCCACCCCTTCCACCTCCCGCAGGCCTGGCACTTCCTAGCTTTGTGCACACCAGGAGACTAAAATAGTCACACAGAAGAAATAAAACACGTAGCCAGCAAGACTCCTTTCGGAGGTGAGGGAGGAGACGCAGGACAGGGCCCTGCCAAGTTTTCTGTTTGTGAATGATTTCCAGCTTCTAATGTACTGGCAAAGGTCATGACAGTAAAACGCTCATGTCTGCAAAGGACATAAAGAGAGGTTTCAAGTCTCCCCTCTGTTTCTTTGTGCCAGCAAGACTCTCTCTATGCACATATAAGTCAATGTCTATTTTAATGCAATAAGCCACTGTACTTGGCTATCATCATAATACGTGGTGCCTTCAAAAATTATATAAATATATTTTTGCCTCCATAGTATGTCTTGAAGTATTTTGTTCCTATCTCAAAGCAAATCAAAGACCTCTTTATCAAAGCACAGATGAAATGCAACCTACTTCCGGGGCATGTACGGCCCTTCGGCTTTGGACCCAGTTTCTTGCCCGTGCACCTGCAGTTCCCACACCCCGGCTGGGCCCAGGGTGCCCTGCACCCCGCCTGCTCCCCGGAACTCACAGGTTGGCCAGGCCAGCCTTGCGCACGGCCGAGGAGATGGCTTTGATGGCCGTCAGCATGGAGTTCAGCAGCTGGGTGAGCTCCCCTGTCCCTTTGGCCTGCCGCCCCTTTTCCATTACGTAGCGGGTCAGGGTGAGCATGTCCGTCTCGAAGGGGCTTCTGTCCGACATTGTGGCTGAGAGGGCTTCCAGTCCTTTCCTCCCTGCAGGAAACCTTGTTTCTCTCCCAGGGCTGTGGCTCCAGCTCTGAAGTGTGGAAGCCGATAAGAAACCCGTGCTGGCCCTCCCAACCCACGTGACTGCAATAACTGGATGAGCCCTCAAGGAAATCTCTGGCCTGGCTGGTGGTGGTGGTGGCCAGAGCAACAAGCGATCTGTAAATAGAATGGGGCTTCCCGGAAACACAGACTTACTTTCCCCTGATGAGTTCCTCTCCTTAAACATCCTAAGATGCGACATTTAGGAACAGGTGGGAGATGAGAAATCCAGCTGATAAGAATGAAGCATAGAACCCTCTTATTCCCAAGCTCAAGAGGCTTCTTGTACCAACTGCAGGACCTGACTCTGCTGAGGATAGAGGTGACAGGCTGGCAGGGATCTTATCTGGGGCATAGGTCGCGTCGTCAAATAATGGCCACCCTGGAATCTCTTTAGTCAGAGCTTTTTCCAATAAATCCAAAAAGAGTGCTTTTTATTTCTAGTAGGTGTGTCTGATGGAGTGGATTATCCATAGTATTAAATAAATACCCAGATCTCTATTCCTAGCACAGTGCCCGGGACCAGTGTGATTTCACAAATATATCTCTGGATTGGCAGTTTTATAACAAAAATAATACTCATTATAAAGGAAACACTTAAGTATAGAAAGGGCCAGGCTCGGTGGCTCAGCCTGTAATCCCCTGCTTTGGGAGGCTGAGGTGAGTGAATTGCCTGAGCCCGCGGGTTCGAGACCCGCCTGGGCAATCTTGGTGAGACCTCATCTCTACAATAAATTAAAAAAAAAAAAATTAGCCAGGCGTGGTAGTGCGTGCCTGTAGTTCCAGCTACTTGGAAGGCTGAGGCAGAAGGATCGCCAGAGCCCAGCAGGTCGAGGCTGCAGTGGCCAGGAGCATGCCAATGCACTCCAGATTGGGCAACAGAGTGAGATCCCAACTCAAGAGGCTCCAACTCAAAAAAAAAAAAAGTATAGAAAGAAAAAGTGCTGCCACCAGCCCATCCCCTACGCCCTTCCTAGAAATACCTGCAGCTGGAGCTGGTGGAGGTCTGCGGCTAACAGGCACTTGGGAAGGGGGGGTGCAGAGGGCAGCGGAAAGCGCACCTAGCCCTGAAGCCCAAGCTAGTTATCTGTCAGTTGCAGGACCTAAGCAAGTTACCAAACACCTCGGAGCCACGGTTTCCTCACTCATTCATGTGGACCACCATAAAACATCCACCTATCAGAGCGGGTGTGAGGGACAAGCTGTGCCTAGTACAGTGGGTGCTCAGTACTCTGTTTCCTGTCGTCACTCTGTGGCAGAGAGGGGCTGAAAACAGTTAAAAATTAGTCTTTTGTAAAATCAGCCTGCAAGCTACAAACCTGCTAGACATAGGACATGAGAAAAGCCAGACAGCCACAAGCTGCTTTCCTGTAAACGCAAGATAGCAATCAATTTACAACCTTACCCCTCCCCCAATCCCTTCTTTGGGAAGTTATGGGTTTACGACCCCTGCTTGTCATGTATATCCTGTAAACAACTTGTTCTTTGAAGATCTGTTTCTGCTGATTGCAACCTTGCAGATTCCCAAAATATGTATAACCATAGACCCCGACCCCCTCCTCACCTGAAGCATATAAAAATCTTTCCCTTCACCCTCTGGGTTGCTCAGCCTTGGAGCATGAGCTGGCTGAGTCACGCTGGTGCAATAAACGCTGCTTCCTGAAACAGCCTTGTTGTCTTGTCTCTCTCTCTGTTTTCCCACAACAGCTCTGCAGTGGCTGCTCAATTCTTTGTTACCTATCATCACCCTACAGTGGGTGCTCAATACTTGGTTACCCATCCTCATCCTTCCCATGTTCCACATACACATAACTATTATGATACCCATCATTCCATTTTACACGAGTAGAATGTGCTCATTGTTCTGAAGCTTCATTCCCCCCACCCCACCCCACAGTTATTTCAATTAAAATATATTTAGATCGGGTGCAGTGGCTCATGCTTATAATTCCAGCCTTTGGGAGACCGAGGTGAGAGGATTGCCTGAGCCAGCAGGATTGAGACCAGCCTGGGCAACTTGGTGAGACCTCATCTCTACAATAAATCAAAGATTAGCCGGGCATGGCAGCATGTGCCTGTAGTTCCAGCTACTTGGAAGGCTGAGGTGGAAGGATCACCTGAGCCCAGTAAGTCGAGGGTACGGTGGCCATGAGTGTGCCGCTGTACTCCAACCGGGACAAAAGAAAAAAAAAGTATTAAGCTGCAGGTCATGGAAGACTCAGAATAATTTATACATGTGGGGGTTTATTTCCTCATAGCCCATGGGTTTGCTAGGCAAGGCTGCTGGCATTCATCTCACTGTTCATTGGTTCCATGTGGGACCCCCTCTGTCTCTTTGTCATCCTTGGTCTGCGGCGTTTTGTCCCTTATCATCTCATGGGCACAAAATGTCACCAGAATCCAAATGTCTAGCCCATGCTGAAGACGCAAAGAGAGGAGAAAGTGCAACTCCAACTACTTCAGTTCCCTTTTATCAGGAAAGAAAAATGTCCTCGGATACCATCCTCCCACCCCCAGCGATATCCACTTGGGTAGCATCGGATAGATTTGCATCTATAGGATGGATTTGCATCGGATAGATTTGCATCGGATAGATTTGCATCTATCGGATGGTGATGCTTTGCTGTTGGGGTCAGCCATTGGTATTGGGTCAACCCATCTAAAGCACCTGCCACAGCAAAATACCTTGGGAAGACATCCAAGTCAGAACACAAAGACCTGCTGCATTCCAGTGTGTGGACATTCAGACTATTTTGGAAAAGTTTTCTCTTCAAGCCATGCTGTGGCAAGCATCCATATGTAATATCCTTATGTAACATCCTTACATTTGTGCGTGTACTTGGACAAGTGCTTCAGTAAGATATGGCCCTGTGCAGCACTAGTCACAATAGCAAAAACATGGAATCAACCTTGCTGCCCATGGAAACTGGACTGGATTAAAAAAAAAAAGTGGCACATATACACAATGGAATATGATGCACCATAAAGATGGGCAAACATATGGACTTCTCAGCAACTTGGATGGATTTAGAGTCAATCATACTCAGTGATCTATCATAGAAACAAAGAACAGAGTTCCACATGTTCTCACTCATAAGTGGACCTTGAATAATTATCATAAGAAAGGGATTGGCAGTAGCAAGATACTGCCAGGGTGGAAATTGGGGTGGAGGACACAACATCAATAAGGATACTTGATCTCAAACCAGGCAAAGTGAGAACCAAAGGAAGGCTCTAACTTAACGTGTACGATGACCACTTATATGCCTAATCCTGAATTGAACCCCACATCTTTAAAATAAAAGAAAATAAAGTTAAATTAAAAAAAAAAAAAGATACACCCCCAGACAAGGAACTGCTATGTAAGGATATTGTATTTTTTTTTTGGCAGGGGGTTTCATTTTTATTTACCAAGACATATGCCAACTCTTCATAGAAATAATATAGGATTCCATACTCCCTTTTATGATTTCCATGACGGTTAATTCAACATTTTAACATTGAAAGATTGAATAGAGACAGACACTTCTAACCTAGTGTGTGACACACTTCATCTAGCCAATGATTGTATTTGGTGATGCTATTTTCCCTATTTTTACAAATGAAAAAACTAGGACTTCATGTAGTTAAATAATGTGCCCAGGATTACACATCTACTAGAGTCTCAACTCAGGACTCTCTGATGCCAACATTCACACCCTTGTACAATATTTTCTCCCATTCTAGGATGTTTCCACCACCTTCTACAACCAAGTACCACATACATGATAGCAGATATCCTTGGTAACACAAATAAAATATGGAATGAGAAAAGGCATGATTGTATAATCTGGTGCTAAACAGATAGGTCAATATGTACATAATAAAACAAGAATGTCTGCCTGGATCAGACCAGTGTGCTGCTAAATCTATACCCATGAAAGTACAAAGGAAAGAAGGCTGGGCTGGGAATCAAAGACCGGGTGTCTAGTCTCGGAGGCCAGCCACAGCCCAGGCAACACAGTGAAACCAGGCCAAGTCATTTGTAACCACTCTGTGACTCAAATGTCTCATTTTAGTTTATTTATTTAAAAAAATTTTTTTTTAATTGTAGAGACGTGGTCTTGCCAAGTTGCCCGGGCTGGTCTCGAACCCGCGGGCTCAGGCAATCCACTGGCCTCGGCCTCCCAATTTGCTGGGATGACAGGCTGAGCCACCGAGCCCGGCCAAATGTCTCATTTTAAAAATGAGTAGATTAGACTTCATGATCCCTAACTTTATTATTTTAAGTTTTGACAACACATAGTATCACTGCGTCCCAAATGTTTCAGCATTCAACTGAAATGTGGTTACTGTAATAATTAATTCAGAACAATATTGTCACATTGAGAAATACAACTGATAAGAGGCTGGGCGCAGTGGCTCATGGCTGTAATCCCAGCACTTTGGGAGGCTGAGGCAGGAGGATCCCTTGAGTTTAAGACCAGCCTGGGCAATATAACCTGATCAGACCCTGTCTCTACAAAAGATAAAAAATTAGCCAGGCATGAGGATAAACCTGTAGTCCTAGCTACCCAGGAGGCTGAGACAGGAAAATTACTTGAGTCTAGGAGGTTGAGACTGCAGTAAACCAGGATAGTGCCATGGCACTCTAGCCCAGGCAATAGAGTGAGAGCCTGTCTCAAAAAAAGAGAAATAGGCTGGGTGCGGTGGCTCAGGCACTTTGGGAGACCGAGGTGAGAGGACTGTCTGAGCCCAGGGGTTAGAGACCAGCCTGGGCAACTTGGTGAGACCTTGTCTCTACAATATATCAAAAAATTAGCCAGGTATGGTAGCATGTACCTATAGTTCCAGCTACTTGGAAGGCTGAGGCAGAAGGATTGCCTGAGCCCAGCAAGTAGTGGCTGGGGTGGCCATGAGCGTGCCACTGCACTCCAGCCTGGGAAACAGAGTGAGACTCCGACTCAAAAAAAAAAAAAAAAAGAGAAATACCATTGATAGGAATTGCATTGAGTCTGTAGCTTGCTTTGGGCAGTATGGAC